ATCCGCTAATAAACACGTCAAATTAACTGACCGCCGTAAATTACTTCAAACATACCATTTCACGGTTTGTGATTTTAACACGTGTCAAATTACACGATCACCGCTAATTAGTAAACAATCGGTAGGAAGATTAAATCTTCCTGCAGGGTTTACAATGTATTTCACACCTTTGGATATTTCCGGTTTTTGGAGGTAAAATTGCATTGATTTGACTCTAATTTTACGAAAGTATCGTCCGTAATTCAGAATTTAGAAGTTCCGGAATTCAGAAGTATTATATTAATAGAAAATAGAAGGGAAAAAATCGGGACCGAAAAAATTGTTCGGTTTTTAGAAGTTTCCGGATTTCAGAAGTTCCGGAATTCGGAAGTTACACTGTATTTGAAACAATTCCCTGTTACCAAAATATAACATTTTTAACAGCAAAATTCTTAAAGAGGAGATAACTCTTGAATTAAAGATGCAATTTCATAAAAAAATTTCAGCTCATTTTGACTAATCACAAATAATGTCATATTTGCCATGTTTTAAGCCTATTTGTTGCCAACGCAACCAATATTTTTTCAAAATAGGGAGAACAGATAAGACATGCATAATCTCAAGACTGCCATCTACCCATATGTCAAGTTTCATAAAAATATTTCCAGTACTTTTTCAGTGTATGTGTAAAATTTGCCATATTTTCAGTCTATGTGTTGCCATAGCAACCAGAATTTTCAACATAGGAAGAAAAGAAAAAGACATGCATAATCTCCAGACTGCCATCTACCCATATTACAAGTTTCATAAAAATATTTCTAGTACTTTTTGCGTTAACACAGGATCCAGTTTATGTGTAAAATTTGCCATATTTTCAGTCTATTTGTTGCCATAGCAACCAGAATTTTCAACATAGGAAGAAAAGAAAAAGACGTGCATAATCTCCAGACTGCCATCTACCCAGATTTCAAGTTTCATAAAAATATTTCCAGTACTTTTTGCGTTATCACTGGATCCAGTTTACGTGTGAAATTTGCCATATTTTAAGCCTATTTGTTGCCATAGCAACCAGAATTTTCAACATAGGAAGAAAAGAAAAAGACGTGCATAATCTCCATACTGCCATCTATCCATATATCAAGTTTCATAAAAATATTTTTAGTTCTTTTCAAGTTATCGCGGGATCCAGTTTTGTGGACGGACGGACTGACAGACAGACGGACGGACAGACAGACGTGCGGACAGACAGACAGATGGACGGAGGGTAAACCTAAAGTCCCCTCCGGTAAACCGGTAGGGGACAATAATATTGTATGATCCGGAGTATATAATTATATCATTCTAATTTCTAAAATGATAAAGTAACAATGACATTCAGCTGGTTTTTATTTATATAAATGGCAATATCATACACTTGTATGTACACCATCAAAACAAATATTTACTCACCTAACTTGGTTTGCTCATTATCTGCCTGACTTTGACCTGAGGAAGTTTCTGTCTTAATTTTTGTCATCTCCTGCAAAAACAAATCATCTTCTTTACTCCAAAAATACTTTTAGTTGAAGACTAATCTATAAGATATTATTAAGATGTTACTTTCTAGAACTGGGGTATCTGTGGCCAAGTGGTTAAGGTTGTTGACTTCAAACCACTTGCCCCTCACGGCTGTTAGATCGCAGACCCTTTGAATTATTTCATGTGAAGAAGCTATCCAGCTAGCTTACAGAACTACCATGGTTCTAATCAGGTCACTGCCCGTTTGTGCCTGAAATAATGCACGGAAGGGCACCTGAGGTATTCCTCCCCCAGTAAAGCTGGAGCGTGGCCATATGACCTATGTCGGTGTGATGTAAAACCCAATCAAACAAAAAAACAGAACTGCCACTGTCATGGCGTGAATACCCCTGCATACCACTTTGTCAGAATAAACAGTAGTCATTTAGAGCTCAAGGACAACCTTCCTGCCAAATCTGTGGGTAGTAAGCCAGTGCATTATTAAGATATGTATTCTACAAGTTTTTAGTGGCAAAGATCAAAGTGACCTTTACCTTTGACCTACTGACTTCAAAACTGAAACATGCAACTGCATGACTTGAATACCCTCCGAATTCATGCAGCTTTGCTGGGGGTGTTTTATGATGAATATATGAGAATATAACTATGCTTCAAATGTGAAATATCAAAATCAATACACTGTGGACAGGCATTCTTAAGCATTTGAGCAGACAGGCTTATTGTAGTTAAAGCCCCTGTGACCTTTACCTTTGACATATTCACCTAACAAGAGGGCCATGATGGCCCTAGGGCCATGATGGCCCTGAGGTCGCTCACCTGTATATAGCCCCCCCAATGTTGCAGGGCCAATTTTAACCCAAGGGCTTTTATTTGCACAAACTTGGTAGACACCCATAAGAAGATGTTTCATGCTAAACATCTAAGCTCTAGCTCATTGGGCTTCTTAAAAGAAGATTTTTTAAAGTTTTTACTATACACATATAGTTAAAAACAATGACATCCCTGGGGCCGGCCAGTTTTGACCCCAGGGCTTTTATTTGAACAAACTTTGTAGACACTTACTAGAAGATGTTTCATGCTTAATATCTGAACTCTAGCTATTTGGGCATTTTCAAAGAAGATTTTTTAAGTTTTTGCTAAACACATAAGGAAAATAAATGACCCCCGGGGCGGTGCCAAGTTTGACCCCAGGGCTTTTATTTGAACAAACTTGGTAGACACCTATTAGAACATGTTTGATGCTAAATATCTTAGCCATAGCTCTTTGAGTTCTTTAAAAAAAGATTTTTTAAGTTTTTACTATATGCATATAGGGAAAATCAATGACCCCCTGGGGCGGGGCCAATTTTGACCCCAGGGCTTTTATTTGAACAAACTTGGTAGACACCTATTAGAACATGTTTGATGCTCAATATCTTAGCCATAGCTCTTTGAGTTCTTCAAAAGAAGATTTTTTAAGTTTTTACTATATGCATATAAGGAAAATCAAGGACGCCCCGGGGCGGGGCCAATTTTGACCCCAGGGCTTTTATTTGAACAAACTTGGTAGACACCTATTAGAACATGTTTCATGCTAAATATCTTAGCTCTAGCTCTTTGAGTTTTTTCAAAGAAATTTTTTTAAGTTTTTACTATATGCATATAAGGAAAATCAATGACCCCCTGGGGCGGGGCCAATTTGACCCCAGGGCTTTTATTTGAACAAACTTGGTAGACACCCATTAGAAGATGTTTCATGCTAAATATCTTAGCTCTAACTCTTTGGGTTCTGTTAAAGAAGATTTTTTAAACTTTTTACTATATGCATATAGGGAAAACCAATGACCCCCCGGGGCGGTGCCAAGTTTGACCCCAGGGCTTTTATTTGAACAAACTTGGTAGACACCTATTAGAACATGTTTGATGCTCAATATCTTAGCCATAGCTCTTTGAGTTCTTTAAAAGAAGATTTTTTAAGTTTTTACTATATGCATATAAGGAAAATCAATGACCCCCCGGGGGCGGGGCCAATTTTGACCCCAGGGCTTTTATTTGAACAAACTTGGTAGACACTCACTAAAAGATGTTTCATGCTTAATATTTTAACTCTAGCTATTTGGGCATTTTCAAAGAAGATTTTTTAAGTTTTTGCTAAACACATATAAGGAAAATCAATGACCCCCGGGGCGGTGCCAAGTTTGACCCCAGGGCTTTTATTTGAACAAACTTGGTAGACACCTATTAGAACATGTTTCATGCTAAATATCTTAGCTCTAGCTCTTTGGGTTCTTTAAAAGAAGATTTTTTAAGTTTTTACTATATGCATATATGGAAAATCAATGACCCCCTGGGGCAGGGCCAATTTTGACCCCAGGGCTTTTATTTGAACAAACTTGGTAGACACTCACTAGAAGATGTTTCATGCCAAATATCTAAGCTCTAGCTCTTATGGTTTTTTAAAAGAAGATATTTAAAGTTTTTTCTTTCGGTTGCCATGGCAACCAGAGTTCTGCATGGAATTAAATTCTTTGAACAATTTTTAAAGGTGACCACCAAAGGAACATTCCTGTGAAGTTTGGATGAAATTGGCTTAGTGGTTTATGAGGAGATGTCATTTAAAGTAAAAGTTTACGGACGGACGCCGGACGGACGACAGACGGACAGACGCTGGACGGACGACGGACGGACGCCGGACGAAAAGCGATCACAAAAGCTCACCCTGTCACTTTGTGACAGGTGAGCTAAAAATCAATATGGGGTCATCTACTAGTCATTACTAACCTCAGTACCAAATAAGATGACTGTTAACCAAAGCATTCTTAAGTAATTGAGCAGACAAGCTTTCAGAATTAAAAGCTTAGTGACTTTAAAACTAATAGGGTTCACTTTATAGTCATAAACAACATCCATGCCAAATATGAAGACTGGGGGCAAAGAATTCTAAAGATGTTTGGCGAACAATTTTTTATAGTCAAGGCCCTTCTGACCTTGACCTTTGACTCAGTGACCACAAACAATAGGGGTCATCTCATAATGATGACCAACCTCCATGCCAAATATGAAGATTGTGGGGCAAAGAATTCTAAATATGTTTGGCGGACAATTTTTTATAGTCAAGGCCCTTCTGACCTTGACCTTTCACTCAGTGACCACAAAAACAATAAGGGTCATCTCATAATCATGAATAACCTCCATGCCAAATATGAAGACTGCTGACCAAAGTATTCTAAAGCAAATGAGCAGATAAGCTTTTTTGAAGTACTGGCCCCTCTCACCTTGACCTTTGACCCAATGACCTCAAAAGCAATATTGGTCATCTAATGTTCATGACCAATACCATGCTGAATATGAAGACTGTGGGTCAAAGGAATTTTAAAGTTATTGGGCAAACAAGCTTTTTCTAGTCAATGCCCCTGTCACCTTGACCCAGTGACCTCAAAATCAATAGGTGCCTTACAATAGTCATGACAAACCTCCTTTCCAAATATGAAGACTGTGGGTATAAGGATTCTTAAGTTACTGGTCCGACAAGCTTTTTAGTCAATGCCCCTGTGACGTTGACCTTTGACCCGGTGACCTCAAAATCAATAGGGGTCATCTACAAATCATGACCAATCTCAATATCAAATATGAAGAATTTGGGTCAAAGGATTCTTAAGTTATTGGGCGCACAAACTTTTTTTAGTCAAGGTGCTGTGACCTTGACCTTTGACCTGGTAACCTCAAAATCACTATGGGTTTATATTTTAATCATGACTTATCTAAATACCAAATATGAAGACTGTAGGTCAAAGGAATTTTATGTTATTGGGGGGACAAGGAAAAACTGACGGACCGCCAACGTCCGACTGCCAAGCTGATTCAAGTATACCCCCCTTACAATTTTGTTTGTAGTGCGAGGGTATAAAAATGATACAAAGGAGTATGTACTGAATTGTGAATTCAACATAAGACGGTACAGCTAACATTAAACTTTAAGTGTAACCTTCACAATGAAATACAGGTAGTATAGCTAACATTTAACCTTTAAGTGTAACTTTCACAATGAAACAGTATAGCTAACATTATACATTAAGTGTAACCTTCACAATGAACCAGTATAGCTAACATTTAACCTTTAAGTGTTACTTTCGCTATGAACCAGTATAGCTAACATTATACTTAAAGTGTAACTTTCACAATGAACCAGTACAGCTAACAATTATACTTAAAGTGTAACCTTCACAATGAACCAGTATAGCTAACATTATACTTTAAGTGTAACCTTCACAATGAACCAGTATAGCTAACATTATACTTTAAGTGTAACCTTCACAATGAACCAGTATAGCTAACATTTAACCTTTAAGTGTGACTATCAACATGAGAAACCATAGCTTACATTTAATCTTTAAATATGACCTATTTTAAAATCAAAATTGAAACAATTTTTTTCAGCTGATATTCCTTAATACACTTCATATACATTATATGAACCTGGATGCCTTTCCAGTCAAACAGCCACAAGAACGTAATCAACAAGAAAAGTTGAAATACACATATGCTCCATTTCTAGCGCTCATACTATTGGTAAGTTTGAAACTTGCCATAAATAGGTACATGGAAGTGTTCAATTATGGAAACAAGGGAAAGAATAATGACCTACTAGTAATAAACTATCAGTATGTGAAATACCTTGACCTTTGAACAAGTGACCCCGTTATGACTCATCCATATGACTGTGTAATATGAAGACTTTTTGATAAGAAGTTTTCAAGATAATAAGCGGAAACCATTCCGCATTTAAGGCCCCTGCGACCATGACCTTTGAGCTTGTGATCCCAAAATCAATAGGGGTCATCTACTACACATGACCAATTATTAATTAGTATGTGAAATATGAAGACTTTGTGATAAATAGTTTTCAAGACAATAAACAGAAACCATTCAAACATTCAAGACCCCTGTGACCTTGACCTTGTGACCCAGAACTCAATAGGGGTCATCTACTAGTTATGACTAATCACTGTGTGAAATAAAAAG